TTGTTATACATTATCACATTTCTTCCAGTTTATTATTGTTGCTTTTCTGCACTAGACAATTTTGTGCAGTCTTTTGTGAGTTATGACTTCCAAAGTCAATGTTACCACTTTGGGGGTTACACCAATGACCAATCTTCTACCTCAGGTACAGACAACCCAACTGTGGATGTTTCTGATTTTGTCCGTTAGGAGATTGAATGCTACTTGGGTCACTCTCTTTGACCTGATGTTGCCCAAGCTCCTTCAGAGTTTGCTGACATTATTCAGCATGACAAAGATTTTGATCATCTTTTTCCTCCTCCCAAGTTTGCTATTCCTTCCCAGTTCCAGCCTGATGATTCACCTAGGCCTTCCTCAGCTTTTATGGATTTTGTATCTCAGATTTGTGATGTTTTGTCTCTTTCTCCTATTTCTTATTCTTCTCAACCATGTTTGGTTTTTCCTCCCTCTCCTGATATTCAGGTTCATGCAGATAATTTTCTCTCCCAGTTAGGTGAAGAGATCAGTATGGTGCACCCCCCCCCCCCCAAGAGCCTCTGATCAGTATGCCCTTGCTTAACATTGGGTTGAATATCCTTTTTTGATCCCCAGTTGTTGGGTTTCTCATTACCCCTTTGGGGCAGCTCCCAAATCTAATGTTAGTCTTAAACATGCCCAATATTCTCACCTTCGTCTTACCCTTACTACCCTCCAGTATCTTTCTTCTATACATCTCCTCTCGGAGGTTCTCCACAGAAATCCTGAGGGATTTTCTGCTGATACCCTTCATCTTCTTTCTCCCATATTTCTTCCTCTGCTCTGTCATTACATATGTGCTTTTTTGTTGTTGGAACCTTATCAGTAGGGACTCCATTCTGGCTCATGTTAATTTACTCTCTAGTTATCTCAGGGATTTATGTCTTGCTCCTTTTCCTCAACATTATGTCTTTGACACTGTCCCTCATGGTATCGAGCCACAGGTAACATCTGCCTGACAACAGTCCACCCTTTGAACTTTTGTGGCCTGTTTGTCTCGAGCGGAGCCTTCCATGCCACATATTCTCATTTCCCATCCTTCTTTCTCCCATCCTTTACTTGTTCCTTCAAATCCATATACTTCTTTTTTGTCAAGTTCATCGCCAGCGTGTCGTCAATAGTGCTGGTGACTACCCAGTGGGTTCGGGGCCTGTGGGAGCTAATTTTTGGATTTTCTTTCTTGCTGGGTCCCCTTTGTCGAGGATCAGTGGGTGACAAAGGTTCTTTCAGTGGGACTCATTCTCACATTTCTTTCCCTGCTTCCGTTTCTCCTCACCCCATTTCTTTTCCTCCTCCTCAAGATTCCATGACTTGCCAGCATCTGTCAGAGGTGGTTCAAGATTTGCTTTTACATCGGGCTATCAAACCAGTTCACCATCCCTTAGAGAGGTTTTACTCCCATCTTTTCGTGGTCCCCAAGAAAACCAGGGATTGGTGACTGGTCATCGATTTGTCATGCCTCAACCACTTTATCACACTCCCAAAGTTCACAATAAAGTCCTTTCTCACCCTTAGATGGGCATTTTCCCCAGGATTGTGGATGACAAAAATGGATGTTTCCAATGCCTATGTCCACATTCCAATAGCCCTTCAATTCCTTCTTTATCTTCGGTTTGTTCATATCAGGGTGGTTTACCAATTTCAGGATCTCCGCTTCAGACTTGCCTTTGATTCATATGTGTTTTGTCTCGTCATTTGGGCCTTTGCCCATCATATTCATTCTTTGGGTTTGCAGTTTCATCATTACATGGACGATTGGCTACTTCTAGCTCATTCCGAGCAGGAGTTGACCAATCACACCAACTCCTTTCTGTGACAGATTGAGTGGGCTGGTTGATAAAATTGGAGAAGTCAGTCCTTCGATCCACCTAATACATAGTTTATTTGGGGGTCTTCTTTGACAGCGACATCAGTCGAGCTCTCCCTTGTCCTTTATGCCTCAGTTCAATGGAACCTTTAGTTCACCGTGCCCTCTCAGCTTGGTCACTTACTGCTCGAGAGGCTCTATCCCTTTTGGGGATGTTGTCTTCCATGACCACATTGGTCTCCCCTCAGTCATACCCATATGAGATCCCTGCAGTGGACATTTCATAAATGATGGAACCTTCACAGGATCATCTTTCTGCTACCATTTTCTTTCCTCCTTCCCTGAGAGTCGATCTACTGTGGTGGCTTGACAAAGCCCATAAGTTGGTGGGTGTGCTATTTCCTTCCCAACATCCAGATGTCAATCTGTTTATGGACTCTTCCCTTCAGGGATGGGGTGCTTGGGTCAATAACCACTAAGCTTTGGGCTGTTGGTCTGCAGACAAACTCATCTTGAACTTTGGTGGTTCGTCAGGTGTTATCTCACTTCCTTTCTCTCGTCTCTCACTGTCTGGTGATGGTTCATTCTGACAACCCAAGCTAGAGATCTTTGTTTATGGACCTTGGATCTTTTATACTGGGCCCAGTATAATGTCTTCTCTCATGTCATGTACCAGGTGCTTTCAATCTGATAGTGGATCATCTTTTATGTCCGGACCGACTATCCCAAGGAGTGGTCATTAGGAAAAAGGACAGCCCTTTCCCATTCCTCCGTTTCTCCAGATACCATAGGGTTTTTACTTCCCCTGTTCTCACTATGTTCACCCATTGCACTGTCTTTGGTGATGATGTTACTTCGGACTCTCCAATGCATTCTCACCCCCCCTTCTTCGAATATAGTATGGGAGTCCTTGCCACTCTCCAATTGCAAGTTGCTGGGGTGGTTGACCATATAGGCACCCTCCTGAATTAGTTCCACTGACAAGTTGGCAAAACCATTCAGTTGAGAGTAGGGCAGTGATATGCTGGTGTAGATGCAACATGGCATCCACAGGAGTTGATCCTTCTCCTTGCTGGTGGATGTGGCATCCTAATACTATTTACACTATCACAGGAATTGATTTGTCACCTTCCTGGATGATGTGGCCTCCTTATACTATTTACATATTTAACAATATCCATAACAACTGGAGTTATCCGTCACTTTACAAGCTGATGTGGCCTCCTTGTACTATTCACATTACTGTAGAGTTGATCCATCATCGAACTGGTTGACGTGGCCTCCTATCATTCATTTACACATACAGTTGAGTTGATCCGTCACCTTAATGGTTGACGTGGCCTCCTGTTACACATTCCATACCACATGGAGTTGATCTGTTGCACATGCAGTTCACCCCTTTTGATTGAGAGCCCTCATCCTACCTTTGTGTCGATGTTGGTTCCCAGCATTGAGGTGTTGGATTTCAGTGAACCATTTAACATAAGTTTTTGCACAAGTTGAATCCATCCTTTCGATTCCGGATGGCCAGTCCCTGATTGCTGTAGGGTGTTGAACCTTATGTAGCACCCAGAAATTGGAGCAGATCTTAATCCCCAATTCTTGGGTTGTAGGTGAAGATGGTGTGATCCTCACATGGATGTTGGTACCTCATACAGAAGGTTTTGGATGTAGTTGACTTGCCAAGTACAGTCTGCCATGCCCTAGCCACTCTACACCTCGAGATTTACACCTGTGTGTTTTGCAAATTATACCCAAGAGTGAGGAGTATACCTAGCTCAGAAGTGGTGCGTTTCCCCTACTCTGATCCCGGATCTCTTTCTCTCATAGTCAGGGGTATCCTTCAGACACTTTTGGGGGTGCTTCTGTTATTCCCTCATACCGGTCCCTCCTCCTTCTCAATGTGGGATTGTAGCTAATCTTATGAGAGGAGGTAAGTACTGTATCCAAGTTATAATTCTCCTATGCTGAAAATGTATTTCCGATAGGTACTTACCTCCTCTCACCCTTCCTCCCCACTTCTCTGGTGCTCACACCTTCTGTGAAACTTCAAAGTGAAGGTTTGGTAGAGGGGTGTAAAGGGAGTTACATGCGTCATGTGAGCATGGTACTATTGGTTAATAGATGGCACATGGATGATTTGCATGAGAGATGCGTTGGAATGTACTAATTACAACAAGGGGAGAATGCAAGGCTTGTGGCATGTGTAAAGAAAATGTTTGCATATAGAGGGCAGCACAGAACGAGAATAGCTGTTCTTGTGAGTAGAGATAAATACCTATCAGATATACATTTTCAATATAGGAATATTATAACTTTTGTACAGAGATTGATTGAGTCTCACAATGCTTCAAGAAAAGTGAAAACATAAATACCTCACTCTCCAAAAAGAGATCAAAGTCATCGAAAAGGGTACCAAATGTGTTCATATTGCTGCTGAAATGTAGGTTGACAAAAGAAGTTCAAACAATTGTTGCCGATAAAGGTAAAATCATGGAGTGATGTGAAAGCAGTTCTAATTCGAACATGAAAGTCACAAAAGTACATATAACTGCAAATCACAAACTTAACAACTTAGTGTTTAATTGGTTCTATAGCTAAGAACATAACTGTTTCTGAAAAGTTGATCCAGGAAAAAGCTTTAGTGTTGTCAGTTGAACTCGGGCTAGACAACTTCACCACCTCAAATGGATGATTGGAATGCTTCTATAAATGACACCATTCATCAGCTTGAACTTAGTCATTTGTTATATGGTTATTCATCCTATGAATAACGACTTCCTGTCAGATACAACTTTTTTTATCATGGCAGGTAGGTCAGTTGTATCTAAGAGGGACTACTGTATAATGCTTAAGAATTTTAGGAAATTAGTGGTAGTGCCAGTTGTATTTTACACCAATATTTTTTATAACTTTGCCTCAGTTTTATGATAGACATGTTGAAGCCATTTCCATTCTCAAAGTATGAGACTACTTGGGAAGCTTAAAACTATAGCCTAAATAAGAATCATCTCAAAATATAGTGCCAGAAATAAAATAAATATACCAAAAATATGTCATCTAAACTTTTTTGTCTAACCTGTAATGTTTATGACACAAGCATGTTCAAGTAAATCAATTGATACTGTGATCAATTACTATAACATTTCAGTTTTAAGTATGGAGAATTCTTCTTCAGGTCACTGTAATCCCACTGATATGAAATTGGTGAATGCATCTCTTGGTGAGATATAGGGCAGGGGGTGTCAACCCAGGAAGAGTAGTACAGGCCACCCCAAACATTAAAACTGGACAATTCCTGGTGGTTGTGACCAGCTTGATGAATCATAAGTCTCTTTGGAATACAGGTGTGGGAAAATTCATTCTTGTAAATATTTCACATAAGTTCTGCTCTTATATTGAATGTCTTCACATATTACCCTTGCACATTTAACTGAAATGGTATTCTAGCTATTGCTATTTATTCTGTGGAGAGGTAAGCAGTAGAGTCTTGGCTATGGAATTATCAGCTCTCACCTGCCATGAGATTTATCTTTATATGAGTCAACCTACTTCTCCTAATGTTGCCCATATTCCTCCTAAAAATGCTGAACCTGTTCTTGCTGACGAGTAATTTGACAACCTTTTTCCTTCGGCTGACTTTGCTGTGTTTTCTTATGCTCCTACAGCAGGATCAGCTAGGCCTAATATGACATTTTTAGACTTGATTTTTCAGATGTGTCCTGTTTTATCCATTTCTTCTATTTCGTATAATTCCCTTCATTCTTTATTACATGATACCCCCTCCTCTCAGTATTTTGTGTTCCTCCCTTCCCCAGATATTAGGGTTTGTGTAGAACTTTTTGTCTTTCAGTTGGATGAGGGTGCTAGCTTGCATAACCCTCCACGAGCTTCAGATCAGTTTGTTTTAGCATACCACCAGAATGAATTTCCAGTTCTTGATTCTCAACAGTTGGAAATGCATTTACCCGTGTGGGGGGGCTGACCCTGACTCCTATTTTTTTATTTCATGCCCAGTTTTCTTGCCTTTATCTTACCCTATCAACTCTTCTACATGTCTACTATCAAACTCCTTTCCAATGCACTCCACTGTAATCATGAGAGTTTTTGAGGGATAGCCTCTCACTGATTACCTCCATGTTGGAACGTTTGTCTTTTTTTGCTCTTTCCATACACGTGTGGTTTCTCTGTTGTTGGAATCTTCTGGGGAGGGATGTTATTACTGTTTCCTCTCCCCCCTTCTTCCTAGCCCTTACCAGTTCCTACCTCCAGGGGTTCTTCCTCTTGTCATATTATTCTATGCCAATGGACACATTTCCAACAATACTGGTAACCATCCGGTGTGTTCCAGTCCAGTGGGAGCTCTACTGACCAATTTTGTTCACCTATGGCATTTTTCCCATAGATCAGTGGGTTATTTGTGTATTATGTGAGGGGCTTGTCATCCACTTCCTTCCCTTTGGGATCCTACCACTATCAGAGGCAGTACAAAATCTTCTCTCCCAGAAAGCCATTGAACCTGTAACTCATCCTTCTCCAGGTTTGGTGGCCTGTGATTGATTTATTCTGCCTCAGTCACATTTTGGTTCTGCCCTGATTTACTATGGAGTATTTTCTTACTTTCAGGTTGGATTTTTCTCCAGGTTTATGGATAACCAAGGTAGACGTCATGATTGCTTATCTGCATATTCAAGTATCATGTCTGTCAAGGTGCTATCTTTGGTTTGTTCATCATGGGGTAGTTTATCAATTTTGTACCCTGCCCTTCAAGCTTGCTTTGGCCCCATGTGTCTTTTGTCGAGTGGTCAAGGCTTTTGTTCAACATTTGCATGCTTGGGGGTTGTGCTTACATCATTACATGTTGACTCCATATTTATAATTTCCATGGCCACTCAACACTCACTGTTGAAATGGGGTGTTCCACAAGATTGCTTGTAGATTTTTCCTCATGATAGTTATGTTTTCTCCCTTCATTTTCTTCCAGTGGAGTATGGCAGTCCTTACTACTTTCCAAGCTGCTGGGCTGGTGGACCATGGAGGCATCCTCCTGAATGTGGTAGTGATATATGGTACAAACAATGATAAAACCATTCAATTGAGAGTAGGGTAGTGGTGTTCTGCTGGTGTAGAATATAAGTTGTCCTTTAATCTGATGCTCCATTTCTGAGTGAATGTTGTAGCTTTGGAGTGAGCCATCAAAATTGCAGTTCATCCCTACGATTGGGATCCCTCATCCTACTTCCACATGGATGTCAGTTCACAGTGGCTGTTTTTTTTTATTCAGAGCTGAACCAGTCAAAATAAGTTCTCACTCATATATTACAGGTGTCTCTGTTCCCTTGCTCAATTATACTCTTGTTCACTCCATCCATGTTGTAAGTCACAGTGGTGGTGATACATGCAGGTTAATATGGTTCTTGCTTTTATGCTATCCTCAATGATCTTTAAATACTGAAGATATTTCTGTGCTGGGGTGGTTCCTGTCAGATTGGTTTTGAGTGGGAGTGTTTACAGGGATATCTTTCTTATGCCAATCATTAGGATATCAGGTTCCTGGATTGGTCAGCCAATTTATCATATTGCTATCATGTGTCCCCTTCACAGATCGGTGGGTACAAGATTTCCCTCCAGTCTGCTGAGTTGAAGATAAGGATAGTATGGTCCTCTTTCTTACCCCCACTAGATGGCTGGGTTTTGGATTGCAGTTGACTTGCTGCTGGTATGATCATCTTTCCTACCCCCACATGGATGTTGATTCCCTGTGCTGGGTTTTGGATTGTAGTTGGCTTTCTGGCAGTATGATTGATCCTCTTTCCTAACCCCCCCTCTGCCCCCATGGATGTCAGTTTCTGGTGGCTGGGTTTTGGATTGTAATTGACTCACCGACGGCATGATTCTCATCTTACCTCCACATAGATGTTGGTTCCCATTGTTTGGGTTTTGGATTGTAGTTGACTTACCAATGGTATGATTCTCATCCTACCTCTGCACAGATGTTGGTTCCTGGTGGCTGGGTTTTGGATGCAATTGACTTACCATGTACAGTTCATTGATCCCTTGTCACTATACATCTAGGGGCACATCCTGTTTACTCACATTCACGTAATCTATGGGATTGAGATTCAGATATTGTGTGGTTCAGATTCCCATCTAATTATTGTTCTCTCCCTTTTGGATGTGCTCCTCCCATTTTCTCCCATGTCTGCATCACCTCTTTCCACAATGGGCAAAGAGTATACCTGGTACAGAAGTGGTGCGGTCTCTTCATTTAGGGTGTTCATCGAATGCTTTAAAAGGATGCTTCTTTCTTTCCCTAGCACCAGTCTCACCACCTATTCAATGTGTGATTCTAGCTATTTATGTGAGAGGAGGTAATGTACCATATCGGAAGTTATAATTCTCCTGTACTGAAAATGTATTTCTGATAGGTATTTACCTGTTCTAACCCTTCTTCCACATTGAAAATGGTGCTTCCATTTTTGATAGAATCGAATAGAGTAAATCACATGCATCAGGAAGGTGTGTTGCACTCCTATTAGTGGAGGATTGTCACATAATGATTTACATGTGAGACATAAATGAACCATGTTGAATATAGAGTACGTGGGAGCTCAAGGCTTGTGGCACGTGAAAAAAGTTTTGCATATAGAGGGCACTACTGAACAAGAATAGGTAATTATGTGAGAGGAGATAAGTACCTATCAGAAGTACAGTTTCAGTATAGGAAAATTGTAACTTTAGAACTATTTATTCTTGGCAACCTAATCTTTCATTCTGTGCATGGTTGAGTAGCCATTTTATACCAATGAGAATCAACAGTGGTAATTTTTAAGACTAGAGATTTATTAATAACTGCTTTTTCAGATAATTCTTAAAATTTTATCAGTATCCACCACATTTTCTAGAAGTGTACTGAAATATTGAGATGTAGTTCTATTAGGTTAAATATAGCCACTATAAAACACTTTGAAGGAGGTTAGTCTTTGTAAGTGCTGTGGTACAGAATTATTCCTGTTTGTCAAGTAGTTTCATAACTGCTAAAAAAGAATTACAGAAGAAATTTTAAGAATTTCAATTTTTATTGTATTTCTGTGGCAGAGTACCAATCAAGAGTATTTACTGAAATAAATAGTGAATGAGATATGAACAGTGTTCATCAGAATTAAATGTTTGATAGATGTTAAATGTCTTAACTAATAAAAGTAAAGCTTTCAGAATTTAAGAGTATATAAAAATTCATAGCATGGAATACCTAAATGCACATATATATATATATATTTTTATTTCTAACCATTCTCTAACTCCATCATATTTTTATTTGATATGTAGTCCTATGGAAAAAAAAATTGAAACAGAGAAATGTTCTGATTCAGCTTTTAGTTGTCACAAGAAGGAAGAAAAAAGTGACAATAAGCAGATGTCAAGGTAAGTTAAAAAGTTCTGTGCATATTAAGGTATGTTTTAGCTGAACATATGTCAACATCTGCTTTCTCATGATAATCTGTAAACATATTGAACAAGAGTAAAATGATGGTTGGAAATCTGCAAATAACTGCTAAAAGAGTTGCAGAACAAATTGTAAAAATTTCACTTGTTTGTTATATTTATGGGTTGAAATACCAGTAAAGATGTTTCAAGAAATCACTTATGAATGAGATATTAGCAAGATACACTAAAATTTAATGTTTAATTGGAGTTAAATGTCTTAAATAATAGAAGTACATCTTTCAGAGTTTAAAAGTATGTGAATTTCCAAAACACACTTACCTCGCTTGCTTCAGTATTTATATCCCACTATGTCACCCATAGTGATTTTAATCTTCTGATGCTCTCCACCTACATGAATGTGCCATCTATACC